ATTTTTGATGAAATGCATGAGAAAAGTTTAGTATCTTGGACAGCTATTATTGGTGGTTATGGCATGCATGGGCAGGGAGATATTTCCGTGGAGCTTTTTGATGAGATGATTAGGACCGGCATTCAGCCGGATGGACCAGTGTTTGTGACTGTGTTGTCTGCCTGTAGTCATGCTGGATTGACCAACAAGGGCCTGGGTTATTTTGCTGCAATGCAGAGGGATTATGGTGTCAAGCCTAGTATAGAGCATTACTCTTGTGTTGTGGATCTTTTAGGTCGGGCAGGTCGACTCGAGGATGCTCGTAAACTTATTGACTCAATGCCTGTGGAACCCGATGGAGCTGTATGGGGTGCCCTTCTTGGCGCTTGCAAGATTCATAAGAATGTCGACTTAGCAGAATTAGCTTTCCATGAAGTTGTCAAACTTGAACCAACGAACATTGGTTATTATGTGCTACTGTCTAACATGTACACTGAGGCTGAGAATCTTTCTGGTGTCTTGAGAATCCGATTGATGATGAGAGAACGGAAACTTAAAAAAGATCCGGGCTGTAGCTATATTGAGTTCAAAGGGAAGATTCACCTCTTTGTGGCTGGGGATAGAAGTCATTCTCAGTCAGATGAAATACATTCAATGTTGAGCAAGTTACAAGATCTTATTAAGGAACTTGATGGGACAAAAAAATATAATGATGAGAAATCGGATAGGGAACTTTCAAGTGGTGTGGGAGTGCACAGTGAAAGGTTGGCAATTGCATTTGCATTACTGAATACTGAAATCGGGGTTGACATTCTTGTGATAAAAAACTTGAGGATGTGTGGTGACTGTCACTTGTTCATTAAGATGGTAAGCAAAATTGTGGACCGTCAGTTTGTGGTAAGGGATGCTACTCGTTTCCATCATTTTAGAGGTGGAGCTTGTTCCTGTAATGACTACTGGTAAGACCAGAAATCGGAGTAAGATGGCTTATCAGAGGAGGACATGATTTCATCACACCTAAAGGAAAAAGAGAATTTTGCCTTGAGGTCAAAGAGATTGAGCCTTAAGGTCAAAAAGAATGAGCCCTCGGATTGGCCTTGACTACTTTGAAGCACAATGTGGCTGCAGAAGTTATTTTCTGAAGAACTACGTTGATGAATTAGTTTAAGGAACAAGTTATTTTGTGACTGCGATTTTACGTGTTTTTGGAGCATCCACCAATGGCTGATGTGGCAGTTGTTGAAGGTTTATCAGGAGATTTGGATAAATGCACAATCGAATATGATGCTTCTGCATAGGGTGATTGATTGCAAAAAGTTTTATTGGTATGCCATGTTGTATCTGTGATTCATTAAAGGTACATCAGGTTTCAATGGTTGTACATTGCATAGTGCAGGATTTTATGTCAACCACAACAGAAGAACCACCTTTCTGGAGTTGAGAACAGGTTAACCACAGAATGGATACAAATAAGCTTGTTAGGTTTACGGTGTTGTTTTGCAACTTAAACTGATGTGGAAAATGAGGTTCTTTTACAGGGAAATTCCAAATAAAGATGTTTACACCATCATGGTGAAGGCAAAAGAACTCAGAATTTTTGAACCATAATAGATTCCATGAACAATACAATCACAATAGACACAGAAAGAAGCTAAAGAATTGCTAACCTTAATTGCCTACAAGTCAAGATTATCTCCGTGGTTAGGAAAGAATATAGATTTATGGCTTTATGCATCACTGTTCCCATCTTTTGATGAAACTGGAAGTCCCTGGTAAAGGCGGGACTGGACTAAGTGTTGATCCTTTCTATCCAAAAATTAAATTGCTGTCACACAATGTGGTGCATAACATCCACTCTGTCAAGTTACCACCAAAATGATATCTCGCATCATCAAAATGAGAATCTCAACTTAGCCACTAATAATCACAACTGCTGCTGTTCCTGAAACGCATTCATCGTGAACGAAGGGAATTGTCTTCCATACTGTCAGTTTCGTAGGAGTAATCTGTATGCCTAAAAGGTGAATTACACTTAAATGGATCAATTCACTTTGTGTTTATAACGAATCAAAACTGTAGGAAGACATTCACACCTTGAATGGAAGAATCCTTTTTGGTACAAATGGCAGCATAATGAGAACCAGCCAAATCCATGAGTACAAACTTCCAATCACTTGTAAGGTCCATGGAGTCATCAAAAGAATCCACCACTATTTCAGAAGCCTAGAAGCAAAATGTAATTAGTGAATGAAGCAATACATCTGACAATGAGGGACATATACAGTAATTAGCTCAACATAATTTGTAACAAATAAGTCCTAAATCCTAGCTACAACCAGACGCATAGGAAAGTAGTTTTTAGTTGAGGTATCAAGGAATGGAGAACCTGAGGTACTCACAATTAAGTTGCAGACGTGTATGATAAAAGATAAAAATCAGGGAATCTACATCTAGTTGAGCATCTTCAGCTTTTCACCAGCCTCCCCTCAAAATTCATCCTTCCTGTTATTTTTTTTTTTCAGAAAAATGGAGCACAAACTGTCTATTTTTTGTTTCTTTAGATTCAGAAGTAAACTTGAACCTCAATATTTCCTTCTTACCAAGTCAAATTGGTCGATTAGCTTAAGTACCATGCAAAATATTTATAGTGGTTCCAATCAACAGAAGGGAAGCGGTTTAATGACTGGTTGATGGAGTTGTGCATGCCATTGGCATCAGATGAGGGAGTTCCACAATTTTTTTTTATTTAATATCAATAATGTCGTCATGCATGTGCTTATATTTCAGCTCAGCTTCTGTGGAAATTAGAAAGAGAGAAAAGTAATGATTTAACACATGCTACTAAAAATGTGTGTTCCAGCCATAGTTTGATCTCTGTTCTCAAAGGCAAGACTTATTATCAGGCTATGGTTACACAGACGGCAACTGGTTGGATAACTTTAATTGCAAAATGTCACTATGTGAAAAAGCAGTCTAAGGCTCTGGCTGTCCATAAAAAAGTCCAAACGATTTCAATATTTCTGGCATACCTCAAAATTGGAATTTCCTGCAAAGCTTCCTTTAGTAGCAGACCTAATTCGAATTGTGAAAGTCTTGAATGGAGCATCTGAAAAGCCTCGTCCCAATGCTTTGACATATGCTTCCTGGAAAATATTTGACCTTCAGAAATAAGTAGGCACAAGCTTATTTGAGTTTATTTAGGCAACTGGGAAAAAAAGTACTTATGTGCCCCATAAATCTCCAACTTCAATCAAGTAGCAGCAGGTGGGATATGAATCATTCAGGTTCAACAGTTCATAACTATCTGACCTTGAGAGTCCACAATTTTATAAACTCCTGCAGCTGAAGTTGGGGATCTGAAATAGCAGACAACACTTGAACTTCATGTTTTGAAAAATATCGTTGAGCAAAGGACATGACATTATGCTTCAGTCTTCGATTCTTCTTTTCCACATCAATACCAATCTGAAGTGGCAAGTGAATTCAAATGAACTTAAACAAAAAACAACAGCACAAGGATGCAAAATTTTAAAACCTCAGACAAGCACAATCTATTAATTGAGACCGAGAATCCTAACAGGAGAGTCGACTGTGACTCCGCAGGCTATCAAAGACGAAGTGTGTGAGATGTTGAAATGCAGTGGCAGTGGACGCCATTGTTCGCAGTGTTGCCAATCCACCTAACAACATAACATTTTCCAGAAAAGCTTTTAATGGCAATTCGACTTTAACAACAACACATACACTGAAACTAGCACCGTGTACACTCACACAGAGAAGGAATCATAACAAACCTCTGGTTTCCCATGTACGTTCTTAATAAACTTCAACGATCGTGGACTAACATGAGAATTTATCTGATCTAGTACAAAAACCAAATCATTCAAGCTATAACATAAAATCTTTGCCACCTAAATATAAAACTAACAGATGAAAAAGGATGAAAAGAAAGAATGTCCAGCTAAACAACAGAAAAAAAGAATGATCAAAGCTACGTACATCTGGCAATGGTAGTCCGAACCAAAGCACGAGCCAGCAGAGCTCTTTTTCTGAGCTCCTCGTCGCGCATTTCGAAAACTATTTCTTTCTCGCATGGGGATAGAATTTCGGCGTACTGATTTAATAATGATTGGGATTGCACTTCACTGGGTATTATATACCATAGATGAGCCTCCCTGAACAACAATCATTTTAACAGGAGATCAAAAAATTTTCAAGATTCTATCAAATCTCGTACGAGATTAATTTTGAAACAACATCGAAAAAAAATTGATAAAAAGAGAGTTGCTGGATCGTGCATTGGAGATGAGAGTTGAATTCGGGGCAAATTCGCAGAAGAATTGAACAATTGTTTGCCCAAGCACTGAAGTTTCATTCTGGAGGTCGATTTACGACGTAGAGATGATGCGAGAAAGTATTTAAGTGAGAACTATTGAGCAATGCATGAACAGTTCCCAATTCGAAACCCTAATTAGATCACACAGTAAGCCGATGTAGCAGAAAAGGTTTTATGCTTGGACGTCGTCGTTTCCTAAGCAGTAATTCACCATAGGAACGCACTTGTCGTCGAGGAAACCAAGAACGATTGTTCCGGCCTTGAGATCTTCTCCCAGGAATGGGCCTCATGACATTGGGCCAATGAGAGCTGTTTCTGAGATCAACTTAGGACTGCTGTTTTGGGCTTTTTCTAGGTTGGCGGTAGAGATTTTCGATATTTCTGAGAGCAGTAGGCATGCATATGCCCTTGGGCCTCTTTTTATGGACCGGAAAAATACAATGAAGACATGTTACCACTACTATTGTCTAAAAGATTGCTTCGTTTACACGAAATTTGTCAGCACAAAAAGGAAACAAAAAGAAAAAATTGTTACTCAATAGAAGAAATCTACAAAATCTTTTATCGTTTGGTAAAAAAAAAAAAAGAGAAGAAATCTACAAATTACTCCATTATCTTTTGATAGCCAACAAGCCATGAATAACGTTTCCCCTGTTGAGAAACATCAAGTTGCCGGTCGCCAAAGTGATGATAGAATATTCCATTTTTATACATGAATTTTATCAGTAAATAGAATACAAGAGGTGAGGAAGGAGAAGATGCAAACTCAAAGTTGATCACTCACTATACTTACAATGGAAACAATAATGGAGAAAATAAGTTACATAACCAGCTAATTTTCTCAAAGCCTGAACCTAATGGGAGTACACAGATTCATTACATGAACTGGAAAAGTTCGATAGCGATAGGCATTGAGGCATAGAAGTTCCAGTATGTCAGCATGCGCTACTGAAGAGCAGCTGCATTTCCAGAGAGACAAAGTACAAGACTCTACCAAGAAACAAATACAACATTCCACGGAACCTAAGCAACAACCCCAAATCAAAGTGAAAATAAAGATGACTCTGTCCTTCGAGTCTAAAAGCACTTCCTTGCCTCTCGATCTCCCCATTGACACAAATAACTGAAGTTCACCGCCAGGCTTCGACCCGTTCTGTTTGTGAATTTATGCGGCTAATGATACTAACCTCCTTGTTCTTTTCTGCATTCCTAGTTGTTTGAATGACTGGCTGCTCCATGAGCTTTTTTGCTGTCCTCTTTAGGCCAGAATTACTTGACTGCCCAGTTTTTGTCCTCCTGCTTTTTGATTGATATCTTCCACTTGCAACTTTACTGTTATTTCCTTTGATTCCATCCTTTGATGCTGCAGCATTATTTAGAATTTCACCAGGGAAATACTTGACAACGTTTTCCTTTTCACCAGGAGGGTCATTCTCAGTAGAAATTACAAAAGCATCTGGTGCATTGGAGACATTCGACTCATCCTGATAAGAATGCTCCGTGGTATTTGAAAGTGGCTCTTTGGCTACTAACAGTTGGTCCTCTTGGGTCTCTTCAACTTCTTCCCAAATGATTGATTGTGATGCACCATGATGTCCATTTTCGTCAGAGGGCTCCAACTCAGGTGCATGAACATATTCTAGGATAGCGTCTTCTCTTTCCTTTAAGGTTTTGACTATTAGAGTCTTCAGAAAATTCATTACTTGCACAGCATACATCAATGCTGTCAAAGGATCTGCCATCTGTAACTAGTAGAATTAGTACTGAAAAGGAACTCGAGAAGATGATTTCTTTTAGTTTTTTCTATATCTCATATGTTCTTTTAATCATTTTTCCTTGATAGGTGAAAGCATGACGTAGATGTGATTTTAGCAAGTATCAGGACTAGCTAGAATTAGGTGCTCACCTGAGTCATATTTGGTGCAAAAACCATAGCAATATTGCGTGCATTCATTTTGTTTAGATGTTCCAGTTGAGCAACGTCCGCCATCAAATTTATGGCCCAGTCCAATAGAGCTGCTTCAGTAGATGGAAGAGCCCTCACAAGCTGTGAACATTCTTCTTCCGATTGTGCCTGCATGACCTGCTCTGGCGGGAGAGAATCCAACAACCCAGCCGGAAGTTCTCTGAACCAAGCCTACAGCATTGGCACTTCAGATTAAAACAGAATAGTTATCAGAAAAGCCAAAAAAATGCAGTACTATCTCCAGCCAATTCCAGAAGGCACCAGAACCTCAAATTATTGCGAGATAATTTCAGCTAAAGCTGAAAGAGGGAGCTTTCAAAATCTATATAATTTATTGTACATAAAAGAAGCCCAACCCAATTGGTCAGGAAAAATAGAATACACTAGACAGAAACATTGTTCTAGCTCATCACTAATAGTTTGAAGAAGGTTAGTTACTTTTGGTCTATCAGTTGAAAGAAAAACTATATAATTATAGACAACGGTAAACCAGCCACTTGAAAGAAAAGAAAAAAAAGGATTCCAATACTTGTTTGTTCATCATGATGCGATGCACTAGTGGTCATACCGAATGCTATAAGAGATACTCTTTCATTACCATGGATACGGGTTATTTGGTAGAGTTGAGAGCCTTGGTTGCAATTCTGGTCTCTATCAAGCCTAAGGTGGTAAATTAGGTAAAGAAAAGGTATTTCTGCATTCATGTTGCAGAGCAGTACCTTGATTAGACCTGCTAAACAATGTATGTCAACATTCTCTGGCACTACTCCACTGTTCAATTGTTCCCTAACATACTCTTCTTGGCCATTCTCAGCGTTAATCCTGAAGATTCCTTCTGCCTGCAAAAAGTTGAATTTTGCTGTAATTGGAAAGACACGCGGTTTGATTTTTAACAAATCCACCAAGACCTCCCACTCCAAGCATGAGATAATAGAAAAACAGCAAAAAATGGCTTTGAAGTGTCTAATCAAATATGTACCTGCAGTCCACCATGGGCATAAAGCCGTCTTTGCATCATCAGAAGTATAGTAGGCACGCTATTCCCTCTAGAGTCAAAAGAAAGCTGCATAGACTCAGTTGAAACCCCGAAAACTCTCGTGCTGTGGAAGCATAATACTGAGAATCAGTACTACAATGTATACCTTGGTGCTACAAGAATCTCATCTGCTATTGACCCATTCTGATACAATATTTGAATAATCATCTAAAATTGTCACAGAGGTAATATATGGATAGCATGATAATGGTAAATCCTCACTGATCACAAGAAGGCTTTCCAGTCTTCAGGTACCACACACAAGGGATCATAAAGCTAAACCGTAACCAAAAGTCCTTCAAATGGGTGTTGCAGGGCACAATTGTGTAATAGTTTTATTTTTGTCTTTTCCTGTGTTACCTATGTAATACTATCTTTCTTTGAACCTGTACTGGCTAATAAGTTATCCTGACGATAAAAGGACCAGGGAATGGACATCAGTTCATAAAGCAGCATCATGAAGGGGGCATATTAAGGCCACAATTTTCATGATAGATGATGATAATGAATTTATGAGGGCTGATACTATCGCCAAAATTTGAAATCTAGTGATCCTAAACAACTTCATTCTAACCCAACAGTCATCTTTGAAGGGACCCTGTTTGCTCCAGAAAATTAGCATGCTTAAATTACAGAAGTCAGAACTGTTAAGTGACAAGTTCATCATGAAAATCCAGATTCCCGAAACTTGTTTTTACTTAACTCTGAGAAGACAGAACAATAACTACATTAAACAATTACGATAAAATTTTCTTCCTGCACCCTTTTCCAACAAAGTATACAAACAACACTAAGGCAAATTGAGAGTGCTTCATCTTTCTATAGTTCAGAAGTCAACTTAGAAAAACTTTCCAAGTACGAAGTTCATGATCTCATCAACATGAGCAAAGTTTTTAAAGTCCCTAAATGATTCCAGCTGATTGAACTAAAACTTTTTTCATGTCATACGCTCAGAGTTCAAGGTTTTCTTTCCCTAATGATATGATCTCGGCAATCAGTTACAATGACTTTTTACAATCACTAACAGAGAATGAATTAATGCCCCAAAAAAAGTTTTTTTTGCTCCTGAAAAGGGGAAAATTACTGAAATGGAAAAGACCTGGCACTAGGAGGCCTCCTGGGAACCTCAGGTTCAAACTCAACCGGAAGACCAAGAAAACCATCGAAGCGATCAAAGGTAACATGAGCAACATGTCTCACATTTGTAGGCCAGCTAATCTCCATGGCAGAAGAGGAAGATAGCCGTTCTTCAACTCCACCACCCTCTTCGCTCCTACAAGCCACCAAAGATTTCCTAAACACGGTAACTAACACGGCCAATAGAGACAGCTGATCTCCTTCTTCTCTCTCCCTCTTTTTCCTCTCTTTTCTGAACTCAACGCTCCTACTACTCACACCACCAATACCAACTTCCTCCCTTTCTTCTTCTTCCTCTTCTCCTTCTTGTATTTCTTCTGTATCTCCCCTGTATACTGCTACAGGAGAAGAAATGATAGGACTGTTGTTAATAAGGGTGGTGTCATTTTTAAGATGCGTATGTTGGTCTAAGCCATCATTATCTGTAGGTGGTGATGATACAAATGTAATGGTGCTTGAAGATGAAGGCAAATGTTGTGGTGGGGATTGAAGTATTTCTGTCATTTTTCCGTGTGTTTGAATTAGAGATAAAAAGACCGGATTTTTATTGGGATTTTTGATGGAGGGAAAACAATGAATGAAAGGATTCGGTTGGGTGGTTTTATCTTTTCAATGGATTGTTTATGATAGTTTGGTAGAATCAGTAGATTACAAAGAGGAAGAGGAAAAGCCAAGGATGGGAGAAAGCTTGTGAGACTTTCTGTAGAGTTGGATTGAAGTAAAGGTTTTGGAAGGTGAGACTTAAGCATCATGATTTACTTCTCTTCCCCATGCTTTTGTGTGCATATATTGCAACTTTGTGCATGTACTAGTAGTTATTTTTCCTTTCTAAAGAAACAAACAATGAGGAGTTTCAGAGAGAAGTGGGCAGGAGCTGTGTCAATGAGACAGGAGAAAAGTTTCAGAGAGAAGTGGGCAGACTGTAGAGGAAGAAGAGTGCACAGTGCTTTCTTTTCCAGCTATATTTTGGGGGTTGGAATCCACACTATTCCCATCTTATAAGCAAACTAAACCAGCAAGGCTAATTAGGCTCCCTAGAAACTGGAAAGAATGGAGCTTCTCTGTACTTGATTTTGTTAACAATATAATTACACATCATTTGATGAGCACTACTAGTTAATGGGAGGGTCCCAGTAAATAATCAAAATTCTGCAGGAATTTTGGTTGATGAGATTATGACGTTAGGTTGTGTACACATGGGATGTACGTATCTTAATCAAGGATCTTAAAGACACTCCTATTACTTCTGCATTTATATGTAGAATTTTTAAAAGAGTTCGTTTAATAATTTGGAATGGCTAGAAGTCTTCATTTAGCTTTGGTTGAGCTTTTCAAGAAGCCAGTTGTGACAGGTACAGATCCAAGGACGAGAGGATGGGAATGTTATAGGGTGGAAGACTACACTGCGTTTCATAAAATTGAAATATGAAATATAAAATTTGAATTTATTAATTTATTAATTTATTATGTATTGAATGTAATATAATTAATTAACATTGAATACAATCTAGATATTGGATAATTCTAGACAGTTGAATATTAAATTTATATATTTTATAATATTAATTAATGGTGCTGTTAAAATATTATATTTTATTAGTAATATATATGATTTGATTTCAAAGAGTATAAGATATTAAAAAACTAAAAAATGAACCACCACAAGCATTTAACAAAGAATAAACTTTAGCATAAATTTCAATAGTTTCCTTTGCTCCTCTGCTAACATGTGCACGTACAGTAAAAAAAAAATTGAAATAAAAATAATAAATCTTGCATTTTGTATTAACTGATAAACGAACATTTTAGTATCTAATTTTTGGAGTAAGATTCGCATAAAAAATTCATAACCAATTAATTAATTAATTAAAATGTTCTAATTTTATTATCAAACACATATATTATGTTAAGATATAAATTTATTAAATTTAAATACAGAATTGAGTCATCAAACAAACCAACCCACTTGTCCTGATCGGAATGATTGAAGAAAGAGAATGGATCTAAAATAAAAATCAGTTCTGGGCATAAATTCAAAGGCTAAAAAGTAAAAACTTGACCCCAAAGTTAGTCCTAGGTTGCCCAAGTCCATTAATTCGGACCAAGATTTTCGTTAAAAGAATATTTCATTTCACAAGTGAATTGACCAAATACTCAACAACATCTTCCAATTTTCCCGGTGTAAATTAAAGTAGCCTACGTGTACATAAACATTCACATTGGAAGAAAGGCTAGTTTTTGTTTTTAAGTGGTAAACCGGAGGGTCTTAATTCCATTGGTTGGGCATGTCAAATCATGAAAAAGCGTCGAACGCTCTATGAATTCCTGCGCCTTCATTCCGTAGTTTTGCAAGACAGTTTGCTGCTCATTAACTACCAACGACTGCGATGTAGTCTTAATTTGATTTCTCTGTATTCAACGTAAGTAACTTCTCCACCCACCTTCGGTAATAATACAACAGGGCACGAGACCAATACATACAAATCTACATTTTGAAACTTTTCTAGTTTATGCTATCGCACAAGCCACATACAAGTCAAGTTCTACCCCCTCGGAGTCGGATCCGACAGTGGAAATAATTATTATTTCCATGCAGCAAAGTGGAAAAGGCCCAGCCAGGTATGAAAAGGAAAATTCGACTGAAGAAACTGATTGATTTACACAGTTCAAAATTATTCTCTTCTGGATAAGATACAAAGTAGCCTAGCAGCCCGTTATAGCTTTCTTCTTTTTTGTTCTTGCCTATTGCCCTTCAGTTGTAGTAGTCTCTTAACTGGGAGGAGTAGACGAATATTTCGATGTGCAAGCGGATAAAATTAATGTAAACGGTCTGATTTTGCAGTACTACTTGCAAGTTTTTCAGTTCTATTTTTGTTCTTGTCTGGACAACAACTGTTATTACGAAAGGACCGCTCAAACCTAGAATAACGGGGAACTTAATTGGAAACTGTTGAGCAATTTTAGCTAGTAGTAGTTGGTAAAAAGTAACTCCCGAAGACCCATCTCAACCATATATTCTGAAGCCACTGGTTAAGAAGGATCTAAATACATACAGGAGGGAGGTACCTTTATTAGTTTTTTGACAAAGTATATATAGGCATTGTTTGGCAAGCAACTTTTTGGTCAAATTTGTCCGATATAAATTTTTTAATAACTTTAACTACAGCAACATCAAAAAAATTTTCAAAGTTTTTAAACTATACACTTCAAAATATTCAAAAATTTACACACTTTAAAAAAATTTTCTACAACTTCTACAGTTAATTGCAGTAAAATTTTAGACAAACAACCAAAAAACTTACTTGCCAAATGGGACCTAATTTAGGAGGAAAACGTCTAAATACAGGAGTTACTTTTTGTTATGATTGTATATATTCGTATGGCAAGTTAAATGTAATATAAAACTAAGCAGCACCTTTTAACAAAATCTATAGTTAAATAGTACAAATAAGATGCTAGTGCTTAATTTCCGGTGGAAAAAACAAAAGAAGGAAAGTCTGCTTATTGCTTATGCACAAGATTTCTATGGCACAATCAAGGGCATAATCATTTTTGGATGCCTTTTTAGGCTCGCAAACGCAAGGAAAGAGTGGTGTCTAATTATGTCTGGGAAGACTAAAAGGGCTCGTGGTAAAACATAATAGCCCCAATTTGCGGGTATGTGGGGTGGCCATGCTGCTGTTCTTTGCTCCCACACATGTACATATTCTCCATTTACAATAATCATAGGACGCACGAGGATCACAGAGTACAGGACAGGCAGAAACTGTGTAATGAGTGGTTAAACAGTTCTGCATCTAATATACGGTTCTCGGTCCAAGACGACAAGAATGAACCCATGTTTGTATTGGTGTTTCGATTCTGGTTTTCTACCAAACACGTGCTCCCTTGCCATCTGCGAAAAATTCTTCAAAACATCTTGAATTCTACCATTAAATATGAACATGTTATTCTCTCATTTTTTTTTTTTTAATTTTAACCTCTTAAAATAATCGCAGTAGGAAATGTAAAAGAGCGTTATGTTTACACAGCAACTGTGTCAACTGAATAACAATGAAAGTCATAAAACAAACATGAGGCTTCAACTTTTAGGATTAATCTTTCCTACGCTGATAATGATGGTGTATACACTGTCAACGTTAGATGAATAACAATTATGTAAAATTTGAATTTGAAATTCAACTTTTGCATGCATGTCATAAATCAAATGGTGATAATGTATACACTGTCAAGTATATATAAGATTTACTGTTAACTCTAAGGCATTGCATTGTGAACACTAGGACATACAAATACTGAACTTAGAAAAAAGGACAGCAAAACCTAAGAAAAAGAGATTCAAGCATGGATTATAGTCCCTGTAATTGGATGTCTGATATGCGTTAAAAATCCAACATAGGTAACAAAGAAACTTGCTTTGCTTGTTTTGGAATTATCCCCTTCTTTTCCTCGTGTATCTCCTCTAAAACTAAAACGAAACAAAAAGACGTAGTAGTAGTAGTAGTAGTACCATATATTTCCATGTCCAATTGTCCATTCCTCGAGGGAGGGGTGGGGCAGGGAGTTGGTTGTGGCGTAGATTTGGGAGTAGGTTATGGCTTTGTATGAACTCATCAATAAACTTTCCTTGTGTCCATTAAGGCTATGACGAATAAACCACCAACAATAATCAGAAAGTAATAGCCTTTTAACCTCTTAATGTGCTGTGGCTACCTGGCACTGTATAGGACCACAAGGAACACAATTTATTGCCCACTGCTTGCCGGAAAAATGGACCAACCCTACATGCATCTAGACTATCAAAGCAAATTCTTTTGCCCATTTTTCCAAGCATTAAACCAAGAAAAAGTAAAAGGGCATTAGTTTGTTGTAGTAGTAAAGATTTGCATCGACAATGTGCTCTTTCTTTAGCAGTAGTATTAATGGGAGATTTTGGGATTTTCCTTGGACAGCTCAAAGCAACAGCGACAAAAGCAAAAGTGAAAAAAGGTCGCAGCCCAGATTTGTACGAAAGCCAGACCGGGGGAGGGAGAGCGTGCTGTTTGGAAACCCGTAGTGAAAAGCTTTCTAAGGCAGCTGCCCGTTGTATTGTGAGTCGTCACTCTTCCAATTCCATAGATGATAGAACAGAACCTCCCCACTGTTTCAAATTTGAACTTAAAATTGCGGGATACTCACTTTGTCATCGGACATACGGATGTAAGAGTTGCTAGACTTGAAAACAAAGCAAAAATTATTCAAGTCAAGTGGTAACTTTACCAACACCTTGCATTCATTTATTTATTTTTTGGTCCCTTCCAAAGAGAAAGGTATTAGTATTACTTGCCATGACAGACATCTGATTGGCACATCTAGTTGACATGCGTTCACTTCACCATTCATAGTTCAATATTAATAGTTCGTTGATAATTATAGATGATAGGATTGTATTTGACATATGCATTCGACATTTTCTACGTAATGGCATTTGTAATCCCCCTTTGAGATGGAAGTTGCAGAACCAAAATGTTTAAATTCGACTTGACAATTTCGGAGAACCCATACCGTGGGTGTGTGGCTGATGTGTTCTGAAGGATTCTTCTTTTGACGGTGGTACCGTGCTGCTTGTGAACTTAGGTGAACGATTCGTTTTTGTGTTTGATGGTGTATACTTTCGACTGATAAAATGCATTTCTATCTTTATCATAGATAGTTCAAACTTCATTATTGATTTTTTAAAATAGAAAAGCTGGAGCACCACTTTGAGCATCCAGTATCAGTGTGATTCTCAAACAAAATTCACTTCCGAAATGATGTTTATCAACCACCTTAGAGGTAATTCTGTTGCCCAGAAGGATTTTTTTTCCTTTTCCGACAAAAGTAACGCACTTGGAAACCAGGAAAACCTGCAAGGTCGAGAAGACTACGGCACGCCTGTAAAATCCAGCAAAAAGAGTTGCTCAAACATGTAATAATTCAAATCAGGTCCGCATCCAGAATCATACGCTTCCAATCCTGAATGGAAACACCCGTTGGGCTTTCTTTGGTCGAATGATGAATAGGTCAGTTTCCAAGATTTTCAACTTTCATTTTGCCCTAGACACAAAGCTAAAAACAGAAGCTCGGATTTAATCCACTGTGACTAAACTATAGTGCAATCAGCATCAATAAATGAACAGAAATTCTACGGCTAAGACCATAACAGAGAGAGAAATGGCCACGGGAAGATCACAAAAGGCTTTGAAATGTAACGAGCGTGTTTGGATTGTAAATTATTTGAGATAATTTTGTGAAAAAATACTGTAACACTTTTTTGATATGATGTATGTGAGATAAAAAGATGATTGAAAAATATGTTGATGATGCAAGCAAGTCAGTGTGTGTAAATAATGTGTAATTTTTTACAAATAACAAAAAATGACTGACGAAGAGGAATCTCCATAATTCAACAGTTCAAGCACCAGAACAACTTTTCTAAGAAGAATATCGACTTGCTTTTTCTCCACCTGCTGACATCAAAGACCTCAATACTGGAAATATATAGTTTTAGACGGAAGAAATGCTTTCCAAGATAGACGTCGTCACAGCTAATCATATCAGGAGTCATAACTCACAACACAACAAACCAAGTAACCCAAGAATTTTACACCAAAAACTACATAATATGCCACAGGCCATTCCATTTGCTTAGTAAAGTATTAAAAAGTTACATGCTAGTATCACTTAACCTCCACAATAACATCGGATTGCATGATAAAATAAAACCACTGCCTGAGAAATATACAATCACTGTGCTCTGGCAACTGGTTCGAGTGCTTCAACAGTGACTACACTATTTCCTCTGACAACCTACAAGAAGACAACATGCAAAGAAGGATGAATAAGAAAAGCCACAAAGTAGGAGCACAAGCAATAATTGAAGCATAAATTTAAAAAAATCCAAGAAAATATACTTACAACCATCCCTATCTTAATCTTATCATTGCCATTCACTTCCACTGTGTCATCAACCACCAGGTTCATGAACTGATCAAAACCCCGAAGTGTTCCAACCACCATGCGGTTGGCATTCAACTTGACTGCAAAAAAGATTATCACAATAAATTTCACACCAAACTTTAAAACTTTCAAGTAGGATGGAAATATTGAACTACTCAAAAAATGAGAATTATAAAATTCTGGTTGAATCTTACTGAGGCAGTGTATATGGGGAAGGCCCCAAACACTTTATAGTTTGCACAGAAGTGACAAGCAAAGTTTGTACAGAACACAAATAGCTTGCACAACACTTGAAATCTTTTGCTAGAAATTTTTGTACTTGAAAAGTACCGCCAAACGCATTTGCAGGGCAACTAAATTAGGTTAGCACATCACAGAAACAAAGAAAAGTGGTAGACTCAATGATGATTCACTCAGAAATATCATAGCATAAATCCATTTTACCAAGCAGGTCAAATTGATGCAATAATACACCTACCCAAGGCATAATCCATAGACTTATTAGGTATAAAATCTACAGGTAGAGCCTCCTCATGGCAGAATAAGTAGTTGTCTCCCTTCAAAACTTACTCAACTTGGATATTGCATGCTTGATTAAAGGACTGATACCAGATTTTACCCTCCTCACCAACTAGGAAAGTGAAAATCTACTCGTTGACTTCTCAATATTAAATGGGGCAATTCAGTGAAAAAATATGCATCTTCAGAAACTATGTGTGTCCTGAACTGCATCACGTTGCTGTCTTCAAATGTAAACCTACCAAAACATCTACCAAAGGATCTCAAAAAACGATTTCACTAGATGCCCTCACAAAAAATTTGAACCATTAAGTGAATAATAAGTTATTAAATCAAGTCCCATCTCATCAAGCCTCAATGTGAGACACAAGCTCCATACCTATCCCATATTACCGAAAATCGCACAATGGGTATCTGGTTGAATGTTCCAAAAGAAAACTCTTACACCAGATAAAACAGTTGTTCATCAATTTAAACGAACAACTGGATCATATTCCATTATCCTAGTATTGCAAGTCAAAGTCATTCAATACAAAAATAAAATTACTTAAAGCATTATAAGAAACGAACATGAATTAGCCAACTAATCTGTAGTCACACAACAAAAAGTTGCAAAGAGCAAATGTGTTATCGAAACAACTGATAGGCAGAAATTCAAAAAATCCGTTGGCCATTTGGTCAACTATTGAATTTAAAGTATTCCAGGAACTTCAACATATACATTCTACAGAAACCATATCAATCCATGTAATTTCACAACAGTTGATACTTATCATGTCAAAAATTATGCTTAAGCTTCAAGTTGACATCCAAGCTCAAAAGTTATCTTTGATCCTATTTTTTAAGGTCAAATTCGGGCATCATACTTGCGCTTTTTAGCCATTAACAGGAGGAACAACATAACTAAGAAAGTTATCATGTATTTTATAATAGTCCTCTAAGGTTCAGCGCAAAACTGGATGAATTCCTAAAAAACTTTAAGCTTATGATTTTTAACTTTCTAAATTTAGCGATATATGGCCCAGGACAAACAAATATACGAGGAAAAAAGAGCAAAACATCGTAGCTGAGAACATACTCTGGAGTTTTTTGTCCATGTACCTGCAATAGAAACAAACAGACAAGCAATTTAATTTAACGGCATAACGTATAAAATCAAAATTAATGCTTAAATTAAAAATCAAGATGAAAAGGAAAAGAGCATATGGAAGTAAGAGAAGTACTTCTTCAGATCCGGGGGTTGGCCCGATCGACTCATGGTGAAAACCCTACACACAGAGAGAGAGGGGGAGTGTGTGTGTGTGAGAGAGAGAGAGAAAGAGAGAGAGAGAAAGAGAGAGAGAGAGAGATAGACTCGCGAAGCACCGGTGAGGGACGACCAAATAGGGAAAGAGCGAGAAGCACCTCTAACAGGGGTTTACCAGTGGTCAAAACCCTACCGTATATGCTCTCGGAAATCGGAAGAGAGGGTGACCTCGGGTTTATGCGACCAACGATCCACCACCTACAGAAAATTAACCCATAGTTCATGGGCTGGATGGCTTCTTGATCTTGGATCTTTTAATATTAGAGATGGCCCAACAGATATTGTTCTCGAAACGGCTAACAACTGATGTGGCTTCCTAGACATAAAGTTTTGAAAAAGTACATACATTTATTCGTATTTCCATATTTTTTCCTCCTAGACTTTTAGGGATACATGATATCTAGTTACTGAGTGGTTACTACTTACTAGCGTTTTGACAACCAGACCGGCTGGTTTAATGGGTCGAATTGCAAACCGGTCATATCTCCAGTCCGGTTTAATAGTTAACCCAAAAAATTTAATTGAATGGATCAAATCCAATAAAAAATCTGTTGAATTAATAAAAATCAGAAAAATTAGATAGTTCAACCGGAGTTACTAACTTTTTTATTTTCTAGAATAAATATTTCAACGTTATTCACTTTATTTAATATTAAAATAATTAAACAAGATTCAAACTTTGAATCCGAGTTGAACCAACCGAATCAGAAACTTTTTTGATTCATTCTCCGATTTGGGTTTAGAAACATTGGTAGTTACTACTTTATCATGGCAACCGATGTTGTTTTCTTTTTTTTTTGTTTATTTTTTAGGAAAGTGGTGATCTAATCTCTCAAAAAATGTGTTTTCATCTTTTTTATTGCTTGGTTGTATGTTTTTTCTTTCGCTCCCAGTTTTATTGTGATTTTAGTAGCATCACAAATATTTGTAACTTTAAAACTGCCAGACATATATAACATTCTCTCAATCTCATCTTAGTTACTTTTGCTTCCCTTGGAATTTTAAAAATGCCCAAGAATTAGGAGGGTAAAAATCCCTAAAACATAGGATGACAATAGATTTTGGAAAACTAAAGGATAAAGAGTAGTAGGTAACTCTCAAAACGCATCTGTAACATCCCTATTTTTCTCTTATGAATTTAAGTTTTTATTTTCATTTGGATATAGTGCACTTAAATCACAAGCTAAAAATTGTCAACTCGTTGCATTTTAACCATGGACTGAGGATGACTTTACTGGCACTGTCAGGGGTCTCAATATAAACTAAACTTTGTAACGACTTGTTTGCCAAGTGGTTAACCAATGTTGACATCCCTCTTGCAAGTAGCGCAACTGGTTGGGTTTTGCTTTCGAAGTCAACCGAGTTCCTTTTCACGGCTTGACGCTCTTGTCATGGAATCGAGTCATGTTGAAACCTTCAATTCTGGTCGTATTGATATTTCCACAATGATGAGAAAAGTCTCCAAAACCAGGTCTCGTGAAGAAATTAGGAAAAATTTATTTGAACTCCTCTTTTTATTATTTGCACTTTTATTACATAATTTTTATTTGTTAGATATAAGATACAACAAATGATGATAGTGCCAATAATAAAATATGAAACGCAAATAATATTTTTCAAAAAAAAATTCCAGGGCAGAATCAGATACCTCAATAAGCTTCGTATTGTCTGATCCTAAGGCGCAGCTCGCATAATCTACTGTTTCTATCAGGCAATGGTAGCTTCTGAGTTGTGGAACTGCCCTTTTTTTCTTCATTTTCCATGAACTTCCCCCTTAGGATAACCATGAAGAATCAGGAAAAGAACTCAATTAAAACAGCAGCCTCGCCATTTAGCTTGTTTTGAAGTTTATCCTGACGTAAAGAATGCCTAGTCCATATTAGTTTTATTTATCTTCCACTCCTTACCCTGTTTCGGTCAGTGCATGCAGGCAAGTTTTTTTTTTTTTGCGTAAAGACTAAAGGCAGGGAAAAGAATAAAAGATCCATCAAGTTCGAACTTGAGCAAAGCGGTCGGCACGTAGAGCCAAGGACTGCAGCTGGCAATGGATTCATATATAAGATCTCCCCAACTAAAACTCCCTACACAGTCGTCCGTGGATCGGGAACAATTTTGTATAATTTGATTTGTTGCCGCCACGGAGATTGCGTAATCCAATCGTTGATTGGAAGTAGCCACGTCAATTGTTCATACAAAGTCAACCGATGCTTATCTACATCGAAGCCTATGTCAACCCTCCATTGTGCCAATCCCCTCTCGCCGTCAAGACTGAATTGCAGGCAATGCCGTCCAAGAATTCTACGTCTCTAGTTCTTCTCTTAAAAAGTTTGGTTAAAAGATTTTCTTATCGGGGTATTCGGTAAAGGATATCAGCTTCATTCCCGTCCACGTATCATGAATCAATGGGCCTCCACTCTTTCAAGTAGGTGATATATTATCGAACCAAGGGCACGTTTGGGGTTGACTAATTCTCTTAGCACTTACATTACATGAGGCCGAAAGCCGGTAATGTACTGCAGAAGCTGCAGAGTATTTTAATTGCTCCCTACCATCTGATTTATTTTTAGATATGTGTTTGCTTGTTACCCACCGTTTGATTTAGCCCTTGGCCGAACGCATCTTTCTTTCGCTCTAAAAGCAGGAGATAAGAGAGGCGGGTGATGGGATTCTCTTTGTTGAATTTAGACGAAATTCCTTAACCATCAAATCATTTTTTCCGTTTTGAAACGCTGCGCAGGATGTGCGACAAGTATGGCTTATGGTCCTCGACTGAATTATGGAATGGTTATAACTAATCGTGTATCACGTATTCTATGTGTTTCCGAATTCGATTCAGAAACACTAAGAAATTGAGGAAGGCCTGTAGTTTAGAAGGTTTGGTTGCAATTGACGCTCTTGATATTTTAGTCTGTTTATTCAACCACAGATTTAAAAATAATTGGCAAAAGGAAAGGATTATTAATAAAAAATGCAATCAAATGAAAATAGCTAGGTTTAGGTTTGTGCTCAAAGGCAACGTGGCATCCCCTCATTTTTTTTTTTTGGAATAAAAAAATCATCATTTTATTAAATCTATAGTAATGGTAGAAATTACATTAGCTATACACATATACAAATAGATCTGGAGAACAAACACTTTGATACCGTAGATCTAGAAAATCAATAGAATATTACATCAAAACTCCAAAAAAAAAATCAAAAGATAAAATGCTTATAACCCCAAAAATATCATTCCAATTATACTGCTTGCTTCGTTCTAAATCTACTAATGAACTGATTCAAACCCAAATGTTAAGGTGAGATCTCACCATGCATGTCTAAGAAATTTCAGATCTAACAACCAAATTCGAAAAAACTTAGATCTAATACAATAAATAGACTAACTACAAAAACTCTTGCTAGAAATACTTAAGAGAAGGTGAAACTCTTATTAGAAATCTCTAAACAAGAAGAAATTCTCACTAAAAAATCTATGGGACAGTAATTGTAACTGCAGATGGATAATTGTTTGGTTACTTTCTGGCCTTTGAATGCATTAAAGTAGTTGCAACTGCGAATCGATATGGAGCATCAATTATTGGGCAAAACACCACTAATGAACATTTGGTGCATCATCTTCATCTCAACACTCCTAACCCCGTTAAAAATATTTATTCAATTCAAAAGCGAAAAATTAAACCAATTGACAAGTGGTACGGCCCCATTTTTTTCGAAAAAAAAAAAAACATTGGTATGGCCCATTTTAGGGTATCAAATCGGCGGAATATTAAGGTCCCGCAAGGACGAGTGAAGGTACCCGCAAGGACGATTCCAAAAGGAATGACAAAAGCAAGCCACCCACAATCATAGACTCTAATTGATTCTATACCCTTTTTTAGCAGTCCAAAGACTCATGAACACCCTCACCGTGAGTTGTGAGTTTGAGTTGGGGAGGCATTTGTATTGGCCCCGATAACGAAGTCGCACCTTATTTACATAAACCTTTTTCACCCACCACCCCTTTCTACAATGCAAGCTTCTCCTCAAGAAAATTCTCTTCCTTTAGCATCAATCTCACTGTCCAACCGTTCTTCTTCCTTCAACCCTAATACACTTTCTAAGTTCAAAGGCATGATGTGGGGAAAGAAGATTGGATCGGTGAAGAAATTAGCCAGAAGGGCCAAGTCAATCAAGAAAGTTCAGCGTGAGCCATCACAACAAGAGCATTTGCTTATGGGCAATTGTGAAGCTGAAGAATCATCACCTTCGACAACACCAACAGGAACATTTGCTTTGTATGTAGGAGAAGCCCGACAAAGATTCGTGGTACCAACCGGCCACCTCTCTCACCCTCTTTTTAAGATGTTGTTAGAGAAAGCATATGATGAATTTGGTTTCGATCAGAGAAATGGTCTGGTGGTACCATGCAGCGTCACTGCATTCCAAGGGGTGTTAAGTGCCGTCGAATGCTGCAACGGCAAGTTTGATTTTGGAGATTTGGTGCTGGAGTTCATATAACTATGGTAGACCTAGTTCTAGAATTGATGTAGGTTGGGGCCTTTAGCTTGAAAATACCGCAGTTTTCTCTTTCCTTCCACTAGTGAAGTGATTAAGCTAATCGACTTATCGAGGTAAATTTGGGAACAGATGTAGGAGAGCATTGTAATTATCCATTTTCTAAGTTCTACGAATTTGACCATGCTTGTAATTCTATTCGAGTTGAGGTGCGAATTAATTTGTTTGGATATTAAATTTTTTCAAATAATATTTCACTAGTATTATAAATATATTTTTTAATTTATTTTTTTATATTTTCAATCATCTTTTTTATCTCACATGCATCACATAAAAAAAATATTACATTAATTACTTCAAATAATACTCTATCCAAACAAATCTGTTATTCTTCGCCGAGATGGCTACTTGTCTGGCTTGATCCGCGTTGGGTGGATAATTGAGCAGTGTTGATTCAGTTTTCCAATTACCTGCCGGCCGGCCCATTAGTTAGAAACTTCAAAATTGCTGTTCCGATGGAGTGGCAGTTGGGGTATTTAATCTTCCTTTTTGGCTCTTTAAGTGATTAGCGTGTGAACGTGAGAGGATTAAGTTTAGGACTCTCTACTATGGATTGAAAGCAAAGTGGTTGGTCCCGTTCCAATTGCTGAAAATCTATGCGTTTTGTCTCGTAATGAACGTTTCCTATGTGCCAAAAGCCAAGAGGACCCATTCGCCCCGCCAGTTGCCAGAATGATTAGTCCGGAGCTTGGTCTTAGTGAGTATAATGACAGTGATATTATTTCGTTGTTGTTGTTTCCGAAAACAAGAGCAATT